ACACTTTTCTCCAATGGGCAAAGAGTACACCTGGTTCATACATGGTGCAGTCTCTCACATCAGATCATCGAATCTGATTCCCTCGTCTCAAGGTGCATCCTTTGGACACTTTTGAAGGATGCTTCTTTTCTTCCCTTGCACCGGTCCCTCCACCTATTCATTGTGGGATTCTATCTATTTATGTGAGCGGAGGTAATGTACAGTGTTGGAAGTTATAATTTTTCCTATACTGAAAATGTATTCCTGATAGGTACATATATGAATAATCTCTAGAGCCTTCGAAATGAACATCAAAATTTTTTTCTGGTAACATTGTATATTTTACTTGTAGATTTCTGTACACAAACAATGTACTTAATTCCAGGATCATTATAGACATCATCCAAGAATAATCAAAGGAATGGTTGAAAGAACATGAAATAAATTGACTAACACAATTCTTTCCATTACTTTATTGACCATGAAGTTACAGATTACTTATATTCACAGTTTATATCTCTATTCTTTTACTAAAAATGTAGTTTGTTTTATTTTATCACATGGAGTGGTAATCCCCCCTGGATAATAAAGCATAAGCTGTTACACTGTTTCCAGCAAAGGTAACACCTGCTCTGAAAAGCATGCAAAGCACATTCAGTAGAAAAATTTATAATTATATAGTAAAACTGACCTACAAAGTACAAATCTGTAACTAGCGTATTATTATTTTGTCAAATACAAATACATTTCGATTACCATATATTACAACATATAATAAAATTACATAATAATAATAAATCAGCTTAATTCTCAACAAATACAATTACAACTATATGTTATATACACACACTCAATTATACAGTTGAATTTCTTGTCCAATACTATTGCAATAGTATTGCTATAATCAAAATCTGCCTCATTATTCACCACACCACAACAAGTGTTTGGGCAAATATCATTTGACTTCTGATGATCCATTTTCAGCCAATCAACAGTCAGCTTTGCAGTGTAGGTGCGTTTATTTTATGGATCATATTACAGAACCATTTTTGCATGAACAAACTATTGTTTTTTTTAATACTAAAATTAAACATATTAAGAATAACACAATTTATTTTTTCATTTCTATACTTAGCCATATAAGAGAAGTAAAGCATTGTGACAGCTTCTTTTACCAAACATATTACTAGACCAGTACTAGGATTTTACAGCTGAGTGCCATATTTTGAAGTTGAACTTTAATATACTTGCACACTTGACTCTGACATTCAAGATGTTCCTGTCAAAACAAACATCAATCAGAAGTTTTCTCTACATCCACACTGGAAACTTTTAAACCTACTTCAGTCGTTAATTCTTTAATAATGGAAAATGTCACAAGTTTAAGATCACCATATGATGAATAGGCTCTCAGAGAGAAAGTCTTAGTTCTATCCCTTATCATCAAATTTAAAACAGACCATGAATCCTGGCTTTATTATGCATTGCAAAGGTGAATAAAGTATTGGGTCGATTTGGTGCATAATATACACACACACATATATATATATAGAGAGAGAGAGAGAGAGAGAAACAACAGGGTGGGATGTCACTGGCAGTTAGAAAATATGTAGAGCAGCAATAATTTGCCAGAATTATAAAAAAAAACTTATTACAAATTAAGTTTTGAAGATATAAACTTATTGCCACTACACATACAATTTGGTAACTTTTTTCAGGTAGTGGTACAGTCATTGATAATACAATTAAAGGTTGGATAAAACAATGCCCATGGTTAGAGATTGTCACAAAACAGATGAACTCAAATCCACTTTTTGTCACCAGTGTAAAGTTGTTGAAAAGAATAATGTGATGGGCACTACTGACTCTCTTAACTTTCAGATTTCTACAGTTAGGTTACAATGACAGCAGTGAATACTTGGAGTGTAAAAAGAAGTGTGGAGTACAGCAATAGTGATGATACAGGTTGTACATCTGAGTGTAAAGTTAGTGAGTCTGATAAATTAGTATTTCAAACTTCCATGTGAAACCATAATAAACTATTAGATTTTAATTCCCTGAATGGTTTGAAAACTGAAAGGAAAAATTTAAATTGGACCTCTATTAATGAAATGCAGAAGATCATATCAAACTGTTTACGTAATGCCATTGTGAACTGTTTTTGAAGATGTGACTTTTATGGTGTCATGATAGATGAGTCATGATATCTAGGACTTGAAAATAAGCTAATCATTTGTGTAAACTGTGCATGAAGGCATTGTGAGACATCCATACAGTTACCCAAAATTTGAAGGTTAACCTTTGATAAATTAGGAAAAAAACATGAAAAAAATGGTAAGCTTATGTATAGATGGAGCTGCTGTGTGGTAGGTCAAAGAGCTGGTGTAGGTGTGTAGTTAGTCGTTTCTCCCCGTTTGTCACACAGACACACTATATGGCCCACAGACTTGCCCTGGAATGTGTCGATGCCATCAAAAACATTAATCCACTTGAAACTATGAAATAAGGATGCAACAGTTTGTATTATTTCTTCAGCAGTGCTGCAGTATGAACTACAAAACTGCATAAGATTCAGAGTATTTTCAATGACAAAGTATTGTAAGTCAAAGAACCATACACTGTGAGATGGTTGAGCATGAGAAATGCAGACGATGTTGTTTATCATAGTAATCCTTCTGTTGTATCAACACTTTCTGAACTAGGTACAACAGATGCAATAGCTAAATCTCTACATATATACTTTAACAGTACTAAAATGGATTTAATTACAAGCCTCGAGTTACATGTCCATATTGACATTCAGGTGTTGTGGATTTGAGCAGGAAAATCTGGTATTCAGTAAAGTGAGACTGCTAGTTGATTTTACTTTAGTTGGATTGGATGAGCTAGCTAATGAAAGGTAGTGAAAATTACTGGGAGGTAGTGAGCACTTTGGAACAGAATGGTGGGTAAATGAAAGGTGTAAAACTTTCTGTTTCAGAAGGGACTCCTTCAGAAGTAAAGCAGTTGATGAGTAAATACATACAGATTTCATCAGAACATCATTGACAGGCTTACACAAGAAGATGAAAACATCATTCATAATCTGGGATCCATACTTGAGCCTTTTATTTTTGATGAAGATCTAGCAGATGGAGCTATTACTGATCTTGCACATATTTATGGAAGAAATAAACTCAACAAATTTCAAATGATGCTGGAAAAAACTGAAACTGAAGTGATGTCCATGCTTAACAAAAATGATTTGGTACAAAATGAATGGCCTAGGTTCAAAGCATATTAAAAGACACATATAAAACAAAAACTAAACATTTATGTAAAAAGGTTATTAAACTGCAAGGTAATCACTTTACTAACTTGTCAAAATTGTGTCAAATAGCTTTATGCTTTTGTGTAACAAGCGTTGATTGTGAAAACCTTTTCTGTACAAATCAGATTCAAGACAAAATTCAGATGCTCTATGAAGGCTGAAAAGATAGACTATGAGGACTGTAATGTTAGGCCAAAAAATTTCATTGTATGATCCCAGTCTTGGAATATGGGACAGTGCTAAGAACAGAAGAAGGCTGTGGTTTTCACAACCATACAAACAGAGAAATAAAAAAATTAAAAATAAATAAATGTGTAAATTGTGTGTATGTTTTTTGTAGTACTTTCTTGAGGCTAAATACACAATAAATAAGATAATATTGACATATTCAAACTCTTATAATATAATTGACTTAATTGCTACATAAACCAGCATACAGATGCTTGTCTCTGATACTGAATTACTGACCATCTTTGGCAGATACTGATAAAGGGAAAATGTGATCAGTACTGTACTGATCATGAAAACAGTTATCTGGAGCACTGTAAATTACCCATTTCTTTCTTTCTAGAATGACTGCAGATTGTAACAGAAGCCCACCAGTGGCACAGCAGAATGTCTGTGGACTTACAATGCTAGAAACCGGGTTTTGATACCTGTGATGGGCAGAACACAGACAGCCCATTGTGTAGCTTTGTACTAAATTACAAACAAATGATAACAGAAAACTACAATTGTTTATCCTAAATAGTTTAAGGTTGGTACCAATATACATTTGTTTATACTCAATTTTATTGGTTTATTGACCTTTGAATTGTGTCTAATTAATAATCCTGCCATGCAAGTTGTAAATCACTTGGTGAATGCCTAGCTCATATTACGGTATTGAATGACATAAAGCAGGAGCTGAAGAATTATTAGTAGTATAAGTATTTTATCTAATATAACATTATCTAACCTAATAAGTTTCTAATTTTTACAATAAGTAAAACATATACATGAAAAACAAGAAATATTGTTCTTGTGTTTCATCTTATTTTTTTGTTATCCATTGGTGATGTAATTTAACCCTATTTTTTTTATAATGATGATACTAGTACACTAAATGATTTTTATTTACCTAAATAATGCACCTAAGAACAAAGAATAATAACACACACAAATCAAACAATGTCCTATAACTATTATAATTTAACTGGCTTTCTAACTAAGACAAGAAGGACTTAAATTAATTTCCTTATGTTCTTAATATAAACACTAAAGAGATAATCTTTCAAACTGAAGACAAAATTTACAATACTCTGTACCAAAAACAACGTAGCATTATGCATCATTTGCTAGATTAAAACTGTGCCTTTCTATTAGTTGTATATGGTATAAAATGTCAGAGAGAATTATTGGCAATTTATTAAAGAATGGATGTGGGTCTGATTTTCTAATTTATGACAAGGAAGATTGAAGGCTATAAAAATGAGCTTTTTCCTTTGTAATATTTATATCATAATGAATAATTTACCTTAAGTTCCATACTTTAGAGAGGGAGAGTAAATAAATTATGGAAAGGGGCAAGACCTAGAAAACAAATGTCATGATTCTAATATTAGCTGCGAATGAGGACTTACTTGAATATTTCCTTTTAACTCTCTTGCTACAGTAGTGTCATTTTATAGTCTTATCTCAAGTTTCAGATGTTCCATGTTTGTGTTTGTAGTTGTTGAATCAGATGGATGGTTTTGACTCTTTGGGGAAGGTGAAGATTATAATGGCCACAAATAGACCAGATACTCTTGACCCTGCTTTGTTGCGACCTGGTCGTCTTGATAGGAAAATTGGTATGAACATTTCAAATAGCTTTTTTAATTATTTTTGAAAGATTTATAAATTATAAAGACTTAAACTTTGATTTTTATTCAGCAGTAATTTGAAACTGTGTTCTGAATGAAAAGCACTATGTTGGGAAGTGTCCACTGGCAACTAGTAACTTTTTGAAGTAATTACTCTAAATTACATATTTAACTAAATAAGATATTGTATAGTTCACTATACAAGCTTTTGTTTCTAGTACTTCTAACAACATAATATGAACGATATTATCCCAGTACCTACCTTACGTATGTATCTTTGAATGACTTGTACTGTGTAATAAGTGTATAATTGAAGAGGACTACACAAAACTTACTAGAACTAAGTGGTAAAGAACAATGTTTGGGTGATAGGTGCAGTTCTTGTTTATGATCTGTAATTTTTAATATATAAAATATTGTCATTGAATCCATCATATAGTTAATATGATACAGTTCTATAAAGTTTGGATTTTCATGAAAATGTTTACTTTTTTTTCTAAATATGAAATGCACTACTTCTTGTACTCACAAATTTTATGGAGTATAATGTTTTGTTTTCAGAAATTCCTCTTCCAAATGAGCAAGCTCGATTGGAGATCCTTAAAATTCATGCTCAACCAATTACAAAACACGGAGATATAGGTTAGCAATTGATTTGTGTATAAATCACATTGTTTTGATCACATTTATAAATACAGTCTCTAACCTAATGTTAAAGATAAAATATTGGTATTTTATTCTTGTCATTTTCCTTTGCTACAACAACATTCTTATTTATCTGATTATTAAAATCTTTATTTATGTAGACATTGAGTATCAAAGGAATGTGAAACAACGAATGTTAAGATATTATGGTACAGAAAAAAATATAAATAGCTAACAACTTCCGTTGTGATATAATGTTAAAGTTCAAAGATATAGTTAGGTCAAAACCCATTCTGTGGTATTTACTGTGATAGAATTAAAGAAAGAGAATGTATTTAGAGTATAATTCAAGCTGCAGATGAAATGATGATTTAATAATCTTTAAATGTACTTTCTAGATTTATGAAGCTACCTCAATTGCCATATGTTGTTTAATTTAGTTAATTTAATTTAGACCCTTACTGTTTTGTAATGCCATTAATTTTTTATTTTTATTTTTTTGCTCAACAGACTGGGAGTCTGTTGTAAAACTGTCAGATGGTTTTAATGGTGCGGACTTGAGAAATGTTTGTACTGAGGCAGGTTAGTATTATTATAAAATCATTAATACCAAGCATTTCAGTTTTTAATAAACATAATTATGCTAAAATTCTGAATATGTGACAGTTACTACATGACAAGTTTGTGTTATAGGTTGAAAATATTACATTTCTCTACTTTCAAAACATTCATCACAACTGACAGAGTAAGGATTTTTTGGGATGAAATTTATAAAAATTCTATATATATGAGAGTTTGCAGTAAATTGAAGTCTAAACAAGAAGGTGTATTTAAATAAGTTGATATAAGCTCTCAATAGTTTGAGTTAAAAATTATCTTAAGACAGACGTATGTAAGTTTTGGCTCATCTGTGGCAAATTTCAGCCATTATTATAATATGTAATATTTGTTTATTCTAGAGAAATGCTACCAATCACGAGAGCTAATAAAGATATTTCTCATTACACTACTTTGTTTGTTATATTGAGTGTTATTTTTTTACTATTTCGTTCTTGATTGCTCTTTATTAATCCGAAGAAAAAAGTTTTCACAATCCTTCTAATAGAATGTGGCCTTTTCTTTATATGAATATTTTCCACTTTTTTCCATAAGAGATTATTTCAATAGGCCTTTTCCATGAAGAATCAACTAGCATATATATTATTTTGTTTGGATCATGATAGGTGTACTAATATATTTCTGTACTAGAATGATACTTTATTCTGTTGACAAAGCCTGTATGTCTATTTGTGAAAATGAACATCAATCACAAATCCACCCTTTTTTGTATTAATTACTTAAATTTTCTTTCATCTAAATTGAATAATTCTAATGACTATAAGAAATGAGTAAAATGTCCATTTTATTTTCCTCAGGTATGTTTGCTATACGAGCTGATCGTGAGTATGTAGTTGAAGAGGACTTCATGAAAGCTGTACGTAAAGTGTCCGATAACAAAAAATTAGAATCCAAGTTAGACTACAAACCAGTGTAATCATCATCCTAATTTAGTGCACAGATTTTATTTTTCAACTGTTTTTGAGCTCTTGAATAAAATAATCATGCTAAGAGAGAATGTGGCTTCCATTTGTGTCCAGTTAGACAAAAACTCAAAATATTAACTGTTGAATTTTGTAACAAAGAAACAAGTACTCATAAAATGTATAAAGTGTGATATAAACATAAATGTGTGTGTGTGCGTGAATTACCTTTCCTAATTCTGTAGCATATATTGATTAAGGGAATGCTGGGACATTATAATTTATGTGTTGTAATCTTTGGTCCTCAAAACAAAACATAACTAAACATAACTAAAAAAGGCTTAAGCAATATCATTTAAAAATCAAAAACATGGCCATTATATGTTTAATGTAATCTGAAGTGACAGAATAAAGTTTAGCTTATGCTAAACTTGTCAGTGGGTTTCTGAATAATAAAAACAAACTACCTATCAACATTTTAAGAATTTAAGGTGAGAAACTGATCAAAATCAAACTTGTTAGCGATGGCGAGTACTTAAGAATTCTTATCTTGTTAGTCGACTCTAACAAGTAAGGTTTGGATAATTAAAAAAACATTTTTTAGGTCTTTAAAGAAAAATTCTACTACAATTTTCAAAAATGTGTAAGATCATTTGCTATCCAGGTATCTATGAAGAGAAATGATAATTTCAGAGACAATAACTCACCTCTTCACACAGAATAGCTATCTTCCTTGCATGTCACTAGCCTTGAGGCAACTCCCACCTAATTTCATGTGTTTTAACATGAATTTGACTGGTGCTTGATGATATCATTATGTGACAAAAGCCTTCCACCAATACGAGGGTGACACAACCTCCATGTGAAGTAACTCCCTCTATACACTTGTGATAATGTCTTCTCCTCAGCATTACATTGAACAAATGTGTTCAAAAATTCTTGTCTGAGTTAAATTTGATGATACTTGCATTTGTTTATGAGACTTTGGTTTTTGTTTCAAAAGCTTTAATTTTTATCATGAATTCTCAAATGATGGTGACATATACTTAGTTCTGTGTGAGTGATGATATTACACAAAGGCCTTATTTCTACTATGGCTTTTGACATTACAGCTATTGTTTAATGTGTTGTGGGTTACCACGTGCTTACTTAGCTTCCTATCCTGTCTCATCACCCAAAGTTCTTTCTCCTCACATAGATCATTTGGACAACGAATTTAAACTGATTTGCTTTGGAATTTGTGGAATGACCTTAACCTTCCAATCTCTTTCTGGATTTCATTCTCAGATATGTTATTTTCCTTGTCTTTTGCCTATGTCTATTAATATTTCTTGTTATTTTACTCCATGATCCCAGTTTATGGGGTTTCCTTTATTTATACTCCTTGCTTTTTATTAGGGTTTATACTGCTTCCTTTCTCTAATAGCTTCTTGGGGATCAGGCCCCTTGCCTTCTGTTTCACTCTGGTAACACATTTTCGTTTTTTCTCACTATCCTCTTGTATTCCATACCTTCCACTACCTTTTGTCTGAAGCACTTCATCATGCTCCGGAGGGGTTTTCTGTGGAAGTTTATTTTCTTCTCTTTACCAGCATAGTTTGTTCCACTTCTGCTCTGTCCCTTCTTACCCTGTTCTCCTGATGATGGAACTCATTATGTTCCTCTTTACTGTACTCACTCTTATGTACATGGTCTTTGTTGGGATCCCTTTCTTTGTCAGGATATCTTCAGTGATATTCATTTCTCTCTGTAGACCTGAAAAAATGTCATATGACTACAGTCTTTGTTATTTTCTCAGGTTTTTCTTCTTTCTCAACCTTGCCCTTTACTCCTGTTCCGTCTCCCTCTAACTTTCCCATTCCAGCTTCCAGGCCTTCCTCTCTTTCTCCCCTACCCTATACCAGGCATCTGATTCATCACTCTTCTTGTAGTGACTATCATTTCACATCCAACACTGTAGGTACCCATCTCTTTTTCTTCTCCTGCTGTTGGTCTCATTTTCTGCTGACAGTCGTTTTTTATTTCTTCACTTTGGTCTCTCTTCCCATTTCATTTTCTCCTTCTTTTGATTCTTGTCTATGGTCTTTTTCACCCAGTCTTTGGTTGAATATGGTCAGTGTGTCAGACACCTTTTTACTCCTTCTTGACCCATCTTCCATATATTTTCTACATTATTTCCATCAGTTTCATGTTTTCTCATTTCTTGCTCTACCTTTTGACTTCAGCATTGGCCCCTTTTGTTTCTTTGGTATCATGAAGGCCTTCACTTGCTATATTCATGGCCTGGGGCTGGCATTCCTTTTCCTGGACAATTGACTTCTTGGCCCACTGGATGGTATCCTCTTGTCACATCCCTTCTTTTACAGGAGGCTACTCAGTTGGAGGGCCTGTCACGTAATCTAAGTCCTTTTCATGCCCACTCGATATTTGGTCCTTCTGGTCATTTTCTTCATCTCTTGTCTCAGCCAAGTTCAGGCTTCTCCTCTTTGCTGACTTTTCAATTTCATAGATTCTTGCAAGGTAGCTGCTGTTTGTTACCAAGGTATACTTACCTAAAATCTGTATTAAGCTAGTTTAATGGAAAGTGCTCATACCATCTGCCTTGGCTCTATCAGTACCCAATGTGAGATGGAGTGTTTCATGAGATCACTCGTGGTATACATATTTACTCAGTTGTCTGATCTATAGTGTAACTATTCCATAGACAATCACGAAAAATGCCAGCACCAGGAAAAAGTGTTCTGCCCACTTCTTTGCCTCGCACTTGCTGGCTTTTAAAAATAGGGTTTTGCAGTCACCCATTGCACCATCTACATTAAAAGACCTTCCTGGCTGGAGATCTGGGCACTTTTCCCCATTTTTTCTTCAAGTAGAACACAGGCAAGCCTTACCACTTACCAGTTCCTAGCTGCTGGGGTAGTGGACCACAGAAAATCCTCAACAGTTGAGCTTAGGACAACATGGCGAGAAGTGGGGTGTTGGAAATGCTGTCAGTGCAGTGCAGGTCACTCCTCAAAAAATCTTAACACATATCTGTTATGCCCTCCTCCTTCAGCCACAGCCTGTGAAGTAGAGTCAAGGTGAGCACACAATGTACAGATAACATAGTAATGTGCCCTCCTCCTGCAGCCAGAATTGAGGTGAGCACACAAAATATGGTATGAATGTGCCCTAATCACACTACACATATTAGTTGTCTGACCATTTGTCTGCACGTTATCAGGCAGTCATGTTCTCATTCTGCCTGTCTTTGTGACAGAAGGCTTACTTGCCTCTTTCACCCTACTTTCCGGGCAAAGAATATACCCTGGTCAAGATAAGATGCAGTCTCCCATGGGTGTGCCTCTATGGAGCCCCTGCTATCTATGGGCATCCCTTCAGGTACTTTCTGAAGGGAGCTCATGTCGGTGAAATTTTGTATCAGCTTCTCCACCAATTCAGTGTGTGGAGAAGAGTTATCCTCTCAGAAATTTACATTTTCTTCAACTGAAAATGTATTTTCAATAGATACTCATCTCTTCACACATTTCCCACCTGTCCTCCCCACTTCTGGTGTGCTTTTGTTTTCTTGCTCCATCGAAGAATGAGGTTATTACAAGTGCAAATGCACAGAGGTAGTTACTGCACCTGGAGGTTGCATTGCCTTCCTATTGATGGAGAGCTTTTGTTACATGATGACATCATCACGCATCAGCACAATTAGAAATTAAACACCATTTTGTGACAATTTTTCAAAAAAGTTTCAACTCGCATGCCAAAACAGATTGTTGACGTAAGGAATTTCTCGGATATTTGTCAACTAAAGAAAGATTAAACATCTTGTACTGGCCCTTTTTTGGCTTCAGAACCCCAGTTTTAAGTATTGGAGAAAGATATACACATTTATTTTTACTAATCTTAATTTTGTTAATATAATAAAGGTTATTTTATATATTAAACACTGACTTAAAAAAATTTGAAGAATCACTGAAGTTGAAACGAGGAAAATAAACAAAAGGAAATTGACTATGAGAATAATTTTTTGTATACTGTAGAAGGGTTTTGTAAACCACCATGTAATTCAAGAAAGAACAGGGGTGTTGCTTATCATTGTGTAAAAATATGTTAATACTACACAGTAAATTATAACTGTACTATTGCAACTTCAGCCTAGGAAAGTATGTGAAAACTGATGGAACTAATTTAAAGGTGTGAAAATGTAGGCTTGAAAACTGGATTCTATAGTGTGATCTACCTGGCAGGAACTAAGTAATCAAGAATAAATAAAAACAAGCTGGAAACATAAGAAAATTTCAAAAGTTTACTTTCTGATCCTATGTAAGTTTTGTTCTTCATTGTGAATGGATGTGTGAATACAGTAGGGAAAAACAACATACTGGTTATATGCAGAAATGGCCAAACCTAATGAAAATTTATCAGAAAAGAAAAAAAAAGGATTCATCAAAATCAACTGGACATGAACTTTGAACACTGAGCCACATTCAAATCCTCCAAGACTTCATTTTAAGAAGAATGAAACTAGTAAAATTCCCGGTACAGAATAAATTCCAAAGAATTAGGACCCAAAGTACATTGTTGGAACTAATCTATGAAGACCATAATCCTCTACTTAAAACTCTATGTACTCCAACATCTTAATAGTGGTAAAGATGATCTGATTTGGTTTTTGAACAAATTAAAGAAACTATAGTGTAATGAGTGTTAACATTGCTCAAATGACTTCACAACTTAAGGTAATATTATGCAGCAGGATCTTATTATTTTTTTGTTATAAATACCTAGTTGGTCTGTATGTATGTGTATTATAATTTTGGCATAAAGTTGTTTGTTATAAAATTTGATGATGTAAACATCTCATTAGATCAGAATGTTTCTTAAAAGACTATTTTTATTGATAATTTTATAAGAATCTCTGAAGAACAAAGATAAGTGCAATAGATGCTTCAAAATAATTACGAAGTCAAGAGATTCTGCTTAGAACTAAAGTAAGCCAGGTAAGATACTACCATAAAGTTCAGTTTTTGTTTAAGCTTAGAGGTTCAACTTAATGAACACAACAATAGAAAATCATGCACATCAAGATATATAGAAAAATGGAGATTGAAAGCAGACCGAAATGGAATTATGTTTATTTTGAAATAACAGATCTATACTTGTTTAATATATAACATTAAACATAACATAATTCAAGACATTTGGGATATAT